CCAGGTGGGGCCAGTAGAGGCGGCGGCACTGGCCACGGGGCCCCTCGCGGGGCTGATTGTCGGCCGAGCAATTCCCCGCTGGGGAGCAGGGGCGTCAGATATTGCACTTCCAACTGCAACAGTTACATTAGGACTCGGTCTATAAAATAATCGTTGCTTTATACATAACGCCCAAAACAACAAACAAGCTACATCTTAAATACGAATAAACTGAAGGTCCCATCCCTCCAGACACTTTTCTCTACACAAAATAAATAGCTTTCCCTCTGTGTAGCCCCCCCTCGCAGAACACCCCCCCTCGCGGAACATTTACACGACCCTTTGGCTGTACATATCTACACACGGGGAGATGGGAATGGCGGGCGGGGCACCTCCGCACCCCAACCCGTGAGGCCCCGAGGCCGTATCCAGGTTGGCAGCAGCTTCTCAGACATGGAGCCTCGGGCTGGATGGCGGGGAGGCCAGGCAGGCTCCCCGGCCTCGAAGGAGGTGGAGGAGCCGCAGAGGGCGCCCCCAACACCAGAGCCGAGCGGAGATCACAGTCGGGCCTGGGGCGGGAGGGCTGGCGCGCAGACCTGGCAGGACAGCGCGGTCTGGACCAGGCAGGACGGGAAGCCGTAGCTGCCTGACCTCAAGCGAACGACAGGAGTTGTGGCTTCTCAGACTCGGCCTTGGAGCGGAACTGGCATTAAGAAAAACCTAAGTGTGTGCCCCACCCACCCGAGTAGAAACTCAGTGGGGTCAGGTGGGGCAGGAGCCCACAGCCCTCTGCAGGGCAGGAGGCTGGGCCTGGGACCCAGAGCCAGGCTGGACTCCTCACAGTGCTGGGTGTTTCCACGCGGAGGGGCTGCGCTTGGTACTGAAAGAGTTAAGAAAAGGAAGCAGCCCAGGATTGCTCATTTAAAAAAACCTCGTAGAAATCAGATCGGAGACGTAGAAAGGTGTAGAAACGTGGGGCCGAGGAGAGGTGGCTAGGCCGGCCAGGGCTTCACGGGCCTTGCCGCCTGGGCTGTGCCCAGACCCGGCGACGATGCCAGGCCCACGGCCTCCCTGGGCTCCAGGCGGAGCTGCAGAAATTAAGATATGGCCTTTCTCTCCTGCTTGCACAGGGATTTGCTGCCCTGGGGCCTTCCGTGTGGCACGAGGTCCTGGATCCGCAAAAGTTGACTTTTCGTGCGGGTGAACGCGTCTGTAGCCACAGGAGGGGATGATGGGTCTCTGCTCTCAGAAATCAGTGCAAAACCAGTGAGGTTGGAGAGTTAACTCGCGTCAACAAGCAGCAGCTGCGACCCGGTGGGAGGAGACGTGGGGTCAGGGCAAGCTAGTGGCCGGGGAGGTGGCAGGCGGGCCCAGGCCGTTGTCCCGAAGAACCTTCCAGGCTGGCCCACGTGGGGGGTCCTGGTCCCTCTGTCGTCTTGGGGCTGGCT